TGTATTACATGGTGACCGGAGATTTGCCAACTTACAGCACCGAACACGAGGAAGACCGCATTTCTCGTATAACCAGCATAACCAGTGGTGAGTCAGTGACTCTAGCTGATTTAAACTTTACATCTTAAGTTAAACCCACATTTTTTTATGCAAATGTATGCACATATATTGGCTTTTTCCATCAAGAGCTTGTTTTCATGTGTACACATGGCCGCTTCCTCAAATGCTTCACTTTTAAGGAGCATTTGGGGGGCGGTTTAGGATACAGTCATTGGTAGCATTGCATCTTGATGAATGTCAGCTTGTAAGATGTAGTCTTATGAGCAGTGCATTAACCATTTCTTTTCCTACAGAATGCTGTGATCTGATCAAAATGTGTATCAGGGAAAGGCTGACGCTCAATCAGTTTTTAAAACACAAGTGGATGACGAGAGAGTAGAAGGACATCGAGGCTGAAGACACAACATTAAGGTAAACAGGAGAAGAAAACTGCGTTTACAAGACGATCAGCCAATGTCAGAATAGCTTTAGCGGTTTTAACAGTCGTGCTATGACACCATCGCCTACTTTAAAGGTGCAGTCGAACAAGGTATTGGAGCAAAACAAATGGATGATTGTCAGATCGAGGAGCGAGTCTGATGATCGAGCCTAAAGGCTGATTTAAGTCGTGTTTTAAGTGAAGTTTAACTTTAAACTCATTTCGAGAGAAGCACGTGCTCATGATTGACCCAGCTAATCACGTTCCTCCAATCAAAGGATCCCAAGTCACTATATACATCCTCATTTCCTTTCTACAACTATCTTCGTCTGGAAGAACCCCCCTTCCTCCTCTTTATCCACCTTTATCCACAATGGTGGGCCAGTGACTAGCACTGTTGCCTCACAGCAAGAATACCAATGGCGTTGGGTCCTCGCTGGGCCATCTGGTATTTCAGAGTTTGCATGTTCTCCCTCTGTCCGCCTGGGTTTCCCCCTGGTTCCCCAGTTTTCTCCCACCATCCAAATGTGCTCTATATTATAGATAAAATAAGCCTAAATCTTTTTTCTAAGTCTTACTCTCTGGAAGTTGGCCTTAGCCTCAGCAGCGGTGGAGTTTTGAGATCGACCTGAGCTCAATCTTCCTTCACCCTGCGAAAGGTGGAAAGCCCTGGGCTTGAGGATCCCTTGAGCTCAGGGCTCTCTCCTGGGACAGCACGCCAAACAAGCTATGTATAAACCTTGAGCTAAGTTTAAACTCTTGAAATTAAAGCAACGGCATGCGATAGAGGGAATATTTTGCACAGAAAGCACAATTTCAAAGCTGACTGTTTTTCAGATAGGCAAGAACGCTCACTTTGCATGTTTCTGAAATATCTGCAAACACATTATGGTATTTATATGCTTTAAAAACTTACATACAGCACCTGTAATGTCAAAACAAAACAAAAAACGTGTAAAATATATGCACATACATTCAAATTTGCATAAATCATTTGGAAATAAAGCAGCGTTTCTATCATGTGATAAACAGAAAAGACTAAAATAGTCATTTTATGGTAAACTAGCGGCAAATATCAGGCAGAAATGTATTTCAGAACTTAAACGAAAAAAAAAACACATTAAAAATGCTGAATAATTTGACGTCAAAACCTTGACGTCTATTTGACATCAACACATTGATGTCCTTTTGACCACCAAAATAATGACAGCTTTAATAAGCCATTCACAGACAACATGTGTTTTCTATTGTGCTGCTTCTTGTTTTATATAGATATGCGCTAGACAAATCCTAGACATGTCTGTAATATTTCCTCTTTTGTTTTTCCTCAGTATGGACTTAAAAAGCAGCAAAATATTCTACAGAAAATCCCCTCATCTTAAAAAAAGAAAAAAGAATCAAGATTTTCTACAAAAAAACTCATAAAAACCAACACAAACATCATAAAGGAGCCATTTCTTCACTGCAAATGGAAAAAAAGAAGAACTGATCCAGAACCAGAGCCTGATCCAGAGTCTGCAGGATCAGCATCGTCATCTCTCCCAGGAAACTGCCTCTTCTGAATAGTGGTCGACTCCAAGGATATGGATGGTTTAATCTGACGGCATATTGAGGAGGAAGTGTTGTTTCTCCTTAGGATGATGATGATGATGAAGAAACACCGGCGCCAGTACAATGCATTGGGTCAGGTTTATATGATAAGCAGAAAATTTAAAAGATATAGATTTTAGGACAGCCCTAGGCGAAAATGAGCATGTATTTTTTAAATATTGGTGAAAATAATCCCCTGAACACAAATGAAGATATTTATTAGATGAAATCTGAGAGCTCCCTCATCCTCCATATACAGCAACAGCCCCAAGTTGCTCAGAAACAAAGTCCAGAAACTACCAGAAAATCTTTTTTGGTAGTTTTCTGGACTTTGAGGACGAGAGAGCTCTCAGATTTCAGAATTACTGATATCAGAAATGAGCTAGGAGGAGTACGGTGGTGGTGGAGGGCCTTGTTTTTCAGCTTGTGTTGTGGATGCAAGTGTACATCACTAACACTGACCCCTAAAGTAATGTAGACTTCTAGATTTCTAATGTTATTTTGAACAACCCTAGACTAAAATAAGCATGCTTTTCTCTCTTTTTTTGGCAAAAAATAATCCTCTGAACACAAATGAAGATATTTATTAGATGAAATCAGAGAGCTCCCTCATCCTCCATATACAGCAACAGCCCCAAGTTGCTCAGAAACAAAGTCCAGAAACTACCAGAAAAAAACATTTGAGTATCTTTCTAGACTTTGAGAATGAGGGAGTTTTCAGATTTCAGAATTACTGATATCAGAAATGAGCTAGGAGGAGTAAGGTGGTGGTGGAGGGCCTTTTATTAATAATAATCAATAAAGTATTGATACATGTTAATAAGTAAAGAGAGATTAATGATGCCAGAATTGTCAGTTTTGGGTGAACTGCCCCTTTAAGCATTAGCATCAGTGCATTTCATCATGGTAATGAAGTGAGGCATGATGAATGAAAGTCTTAATTATTATATTTTAGTTGAATCATTATTAAGTCACTGTTTAAATGACATCTGCATCACATCTTTAAAGTCAAGCAACAAAAACCTGTGTCATGATCTGAAGCCACACGACACAACATGCAGGAGCTAAAATACAACTGATGATCAGGTTTAGCTTATCTTATCAATCTGACCCAATGCATCGCCACCCAGACTGAAGTACAGGTGAAATCAGAGGCGTTGAGAGTGCCGGTGTTCAACTCTTTCAGGGTGGATTTATGTAATCGTCACTCTTATAATCTCTAGAGAAACAACACATCCTCCTCAAATGACGTGTCCATCGATATCCTTGCAGGATCAGCATTGAAGAGGCAGATTGATCCTTTTACTGATTAAATAAAGTTGATTGTACATCCAGAAATGAAGAGTTTGATCAGATCAGTTTTACCATAACAAACTGTAATATTATTGATTTTATAATTATGTTCATGAATGCTAAATACTATTTAATTATGTCATTCAGACTGTCATTGCTGTATATACTCGACCCTGTTATTTCTATTTCTCTTCAATTGCTGTTGATTGTTTTGTGTTTACTGAATATGTTGTGTTTTGCACTCTTAATAAAAAATAAATAATAATGTCTGTCATGTGCATCTTCTTTAATAATGAGGTCTGGTTTTTCCAATTATGTGCATTCAGATTTACTGAAATTCTGCTATAGTCATATAATGATTGCCTGATTAAAAAGCTAAAATTTATATATTATTTATAAAATTACCCAGTTGATTGTATCTACCTTATAGGCTGTAATCTAAACCCAAGCCTCACAGTAATGTCAACAATATTCATTATTGCTGAACAGTGTCACACAAAGTATGCTGTAAGTAGTGGTGTACCCCATAGACTTCACCTTCATGTTGGGTATGAAAATGTGCATTAAACACTGCACTACAGCGTTTTGATGATCATCCGACAAGCTAATCCAACTAAAAACAGTGATTAAAATATCACTAAATGCACTATTAAATATTTAAATAGAAAATGATATAGAGGAACTACAAAAAGGGTCACTCTTTGAGAAAAAACAGCCACTTTAACCAGGCTGGCTGCTGGTCCGATTAAACAGTTTATATTGAAACTTCATACAGTCGTCATTCTACATATTATTTGCAATGTTCAGCATGTAGATGACGTCGTTGTGTAATCCCAAATCACTGTAAATTTATTGGGGGGGTATACAAACAAATACAAACACCTATTTTACAAGAAATGTAAAAATGAAATGTAAAATGTAATTTAACTTTTTAGGTAATGTAAGATTGCGTAATATACATGCTTCAGTGATTGAAATGTATGCATTTATTTAAATTATAACTAAATTATTCAAAGGTATTTACGTTTTCAGTGTTTTGAGGGATATCTGGTGTGTTCTGACCTACAGTATCGTCTGATTCGCTATTTTGGAGGGTTCTGTGAGTCAAAACTATTTAAACTGCGTATATAAATTAGACTTTTTCGCTATGTGTAAATATAAACACCTATTTTACAAGAAATGTGTCTTGTTTGAACACATACGTCGACTGTTAGTCCTCGTGAGCCGCCGTTTAAGACTGTTGCGTGTTGAATGACTCGACCGCGATTATACATTAATAATGGTATGAACCATTATAGGGGGTGGTCAAATGAAAATGTATATTTTAATATTCAAATTATGCATATTATTTAAGACACAGATCACAGAAAACTATGTAATGAGCAGAATTCTACATAAATCTTGTCATTTAGGTGCAATCAAGTGTTACTTAAGCGGGTGAGATCCGCCCAAACCCCCCTGGTTGTACTGCTCCAATAACTGACCTTACAGCCTCACCCAAAATGGCGCAGTAACTAGACCCACTAGTTGCGTTTCTATAGCAACCCCGCTACTCTCGCGATAACGGAAAGCGCGAGAGCGACTGCGGCGCCCTATTTCCTTTCCTCGCTGTAAATGGGCAAGTGCGCGAGCTCTGTCAGAAATCAAGTCCTCGTTTGCAAACTTTCCTCACAAACAGCGTTTAACTTTCATCTAAAGCGGGCGACACAGCGTGTTCGGTTAGAGGGTGGTTTCGGAGCCGCCACGGCGCGTTTCAGCCGCTTGTTTGAGGCGTAAACAGTGTAAAACAGGAGTTGTGGGTGGGTTTGACGGTTATGGCAGCACCGCGACCCATTAAAGGCATTCTGAAGAACAAATCCAGTATTAAAGTCCGAGCAGAAGAACCAGTTCAGGACATCCCAGAGCCCGGAGCCCCTCTAAACTCTGAAGACGACCCTCAGTGAGTAAACCTCCTTTTTATTTGTGCTATCAGAGCAGACAGAAACACTGGGCGGCAGTTAAGATGAGAGCTGTCAATCAAACTCAAACTAACTGTCCATCAAATCAAACTCTGGCATGATGAGAACTAGTACTCGCATCTAGCCCTGTGCTGTACTGGTGCCAGATATATTACTGGGTTGGTTGGTAGCTGAAGCGGCTAATGGGTTAGCACCTGCCCTGTCAATGTCGAAATAATAAACCAAACCACCCTGCGGGATTTAACTCAAATTGAGAGAGGTAAAGTTGGTTTTATATTCGCACATGCGTTCATTTAACTGTCTCTATATTGTTTACCACGCTTATTTGAATATATAATCAGAATTAGCACGTTAGAATAACTTCAAAACAACATCAACTAATTGACTGTAAACATGATTGTACTCTGATAGAGTTAGTCATTGGCAAGATTTGCAAAGAATACTTTTCTGAAATGATTTTATAAAGCAGAATGTCTGAATATCCAAATATAAAACCAACTTGCCTCTATCTCAAATTGAAGTAAAGTTGGGATTATTCGTTAAGTGACAACTTGTGACACGCTATATATACTGTATGCTGTAAAATAAAAGAATGTGAAAAGTAACTGAAAAGATATATATATATATATATAAATAAATAAATAAATAAATATATAAATATATATATATATATATATATATATTAGGGCTGCTCGATTATGGGAAAAATCATAATCACGATTATTTTGGTCATAATTGTAATCACGATTATTAAAAACGATTACTGTTAAAGTCAAAATTACTACTATTTATTTTAAATATATATTTCCGAAATGATGTTTAACAGAGCAAGGAATATTAACAGTATTTCCTCTAATACTTTTTCTTCTGGAGAAAGGCTTTTTTATTTTTATTTTGGCAAGAAAAAAAGCAGGTTTAAATATTTTGAAACCCAAGTCTATAATATTAGCCCCCTTAAGCAATATATATTTTTGATTGTCTGCCGAAGAAACTACTGTTATACAATGACCTGCCTAATTACCCTAATTAGCCTTTAAATTGCACTGAGAATCTGAGTGCATGTATGTTGAAAAATATCTAGTCAAATATTATGTGCTGTCATCATGACAGAGATAAAATAAATCAGTTATTAGAAAAGAGTTATTAAAACCATTATGTTCAGAAATCTTTCCATTAAACAGAAATTGGGGGGCGGGTTGCTAATATTCAGGAGGGCTAATAATTCTGGCTTCAACTGTATACAGTTATTTTCCTCACTGCAAAGGAAAGAGAAATAAATACAATAGAATAAAAATATGAAACAAACTGCTTTAAGCATCTTCACTGTAGGAAAAACATTTTAGCTGCAAAAGCTCTTCAGTCAAGAGCAGAGGCACGTTCTCCGTTTGTTGTTTGATTAATAATCATAAAAACAGGCGGCAGAAGGATTATCGCACCCTGTCTCTTTAATGGTTTCTCTTTCGTGTGTATTTTGATTCTCAACTCGTTTGTTTATTACACAAATGAGGGTTAATATAAATAATCACTATTACTGCATTTTGACTTTTTTTTTTTTTTTGCCACCCCAAGATTTGGTGCCTCTTCTGGCCACCCCTAAAAATTTTCTAGGCGCGCCACTGTGTACATATATGGTATTTTTATGCTTTAGAAGAATTAAAAATATACATGCAGCACATTTAAATAAGTGTGATTTCTGTACCATGATGTGGTTATGGTTATAAAGAGGTCTGATCACAACATGTCAACATAAAGGTGTAAAATGAACACTCCTGTCAATCTGTCTGTCATAAAACACAGCTGCCACCGCAGACTGGTAACATTAGAAGTGGTTTTTTTTGCCTGTAGGTCAATGTACATATAAAATTGATCTCATTCATTCTGACATTGGCTGGTCTAGATCCACCATGAGGACTTGAGGATGTGTCGAAGCTCTCTCCTTTTCTTCTGGAGGTCAGAGAGGTTGTGTCTTGTCAAGGATGAGACTGAAATAATGACTATCCTGTCTCCTTGTTCACTGAGCCGTCTGCCTTTTTATCCACACATATTGATTTATACTTTTAGGTCATCTGTAATGTTATATTTCCAGAAGGTATAAATATGTGTGTGTATATGTATGTATGTATATGTATATGCACTGTTGAATGTATATGCTTTCTCTGGAATATGCCCAATTAGTCCACATGTGTTTTGTGGACTTGAAGGTATCCATCCGTATCCATTGTGGCATTCTGTTGAGGGTTCTCTGGGAGTATGGGGTCAGGGGCACTCTTTAAAGGGCTGTCTTGTCCCTGTATGAACAAAGTAGGAGTCTGGTTTGGATTGCCGGCAGTAAGTCAAACTGGTTTCCAGTGGTTGTTGCACTCCAGCAGGGCTGTCCCTTGTCACCAACTCTGTTTATAATTTTTATGTACAGAATTTCAATGCGCAGCCTTGGGCTGAAGGTGTCTGGTTCGGGGACCACAGGATTTCATCTCTGTTATTGACAGATAATGTTGTTCTGTTGGCTTCATCGAACATGGACCTTCAGCATGCACTGGGGCAGTTTGCTGCAGAGTGTGATGCAGTTTGCTGCAGAGTGTGATGCGGCTGGGATGAGATTCAGCACCTCCAAGTCAGAGGCCATGGTGCTGAATCTTTGCCATCTCCAGGTTGGAGGAAAGTCTTTACCCCAGGTGGAGGAGTTCAAGTATCTCGGGGTTTGGTTCACGAGTGAGGGAAGGATAGAACATAAGATTTACAGGCAGATTGGTGCAGCAGTAATGCAGTCGATGTACTGCTCCGTTAAGGTAAAAAAGGAGCTGGGCTGAAAGGCAAGCTCTCGATTTACCGGTCCTGCTCTCGCCTATGGTCATGAGCTTTGGAAATGAGTTTTTTTCACAGGGTGGCAGGGCGCACCCTTATAGATAGTGTCAGGAGCTCTGTCACCCGGGAGGAGCTCGGAGTAGAGCCGCTGCTCCTCCACATCGAGAGAAGTCAGCTGAGGTGGCTCGGGCGTCTGTTTCAGATGCCTCCTGGACGCCTACCTAGGGAGGTGTTCCAGGCATGTCCCACCTGGAGGAGGCCTCAGGGAAGACCCATTATTTGCTGGAGGGAGCATGTCCTCGGCTGGCCTGGGAATGCTTCAGGATCCCCCCGCTGAAAGAAGTGTATGGGGAGAGGGAAGTCTGGGGTTCTCTCCTAAGACTGCTGCCCCTGTGACCCGGCCCCGGCCCTGGATAAGCGGCAGAAAATTACTTGACCTAAAAAATGAATATCTTTTTATATTGTTGTTTTAAATTTTATAATGTTTATTTTTATATTATTAAATCATGATTTTTAGTAATTTTTGTACTTGATTACATTTTTAATTAATTACATTGCATTTTCAAACAATATTATTCATTGATTTAGGATTTAAAAGCTTAAATAAGTACTTTTTTTTTAATAAGAAAGTTACTTTTAAAATGTTTTTACACTTTCAATTCCTAGACTCTCAAAATCACAAGCATAATCTGCAGATTTGTAAAAGAAATTCTGTTTTTACAGGAACATTTGTACAAAACAATGTTCTATTTATTAATTTATTAAGGAAGATGAGACCAAAATAATGGTGATTCTGTTAACTGAGCTGTCTGCATTTTATCGTTTTCAGCACACATGTTGATTTATGCTTTTAGGTCAACTCAAATTTGTACAGGATTTTTTTAGAAGCATCAGTAAAGGAGACTGCAGCTGATGATTATGCAAAAGTTGGTGTGTGCGTGTCTGTCTGTCTGTCTGTGGGCTGTATGTAGGTGTTGTGTTTGGCTCTTCTTCCTCTCTCCAGAAGACGTTGTTCTTGAATCCAGCTCTCCCACTCTGAGGAAACTAGGACACTGCGAGAATGACACTTATTCCTCAATTCTGTCCTGTGGGACGACCAGCCGAGCTGACTGCAGTGACACTCAATTAGACCTGCTTAAAAATGTATTTAGTGCTGCACCTAATCATCAGATGACGCTCAGTGTAGTAAAGTATAATATATATAATAGTAGAATCAGAGCTGCACGACTCTGGCTGAAATGAGAATCACAATTTGTTTTGCTTAGGATCAAGATCACTATTTTTCACGATTCTGTAGACGTAAAAAAAAGGTTTATATGAGTGGGTTATTATCATTGTTTTTTCCTAAACATATGGTGAAAACAACAACAATAATAAATTGCCTATGTGTAGATGTACTGTTGGTAAAAATGCTAAATTTTGTATAGACTTGGAATGGTGGACTTGAACAGACTTTAAATCTGTCCTGGTTGTTATTTCACAGTAAAGTGGCGACATTAGAATACACTAATAATAATAATAATAATAATATTTCCTTACATTTATATAGCGCTTTTCTAAACACATAAAGCGCTTTACACATAGGGGGGAATCTCCTCATCCACCATCAGTGTGCAGCATCCACCTGGATGATGCGACGGCAGCCATATTGCGCCAGACCGCACACCACACACCAGCTGATTGGTAGAGAGGAGACTGAGAGGAGTGATGAAGCCAATTATAGTTTGGGGATGGTTAGTAAAGCATGATGGACAGAGGCCAGTGGGCAAATTTGGCCAGGATGCCAGGGTTAAACCCCTACTCTTTTTCCAAGGACATCCTGGGATTTATTTTTATGACCATAGAGAGTCAGGACCTCGGTTTAACGTCTCATCCGAAAGATGGCGCTCACTGAGCACTATAGAGTCCCCTTCACTATACTGGGGTGTTAGAATCCACACAAACCTCAGGTTGGGCGCCCCCTGCTGGCCTCACTAACACCACTTCCGGCAGCAACCTAGCTTTCCCATGTGGTCTCCCATCCAAGTGATGACATTAGAATACACTAAGCTGAATAATTATGTTTGAGTCATATGCTTGCAATCTGTAATTGAAACATTATTACACCATTTTATTAACTGGTAATATCAGACATTTGTCATTATCTGATTTCCTCTTGCGTTATATTCAACATTATAAA